AAACCATATGTCATCTTCTTGTTGATGATGTTGTAGGCAACATTCTTCGTCAATATTAATCTGACGACGCCCAAAACCTGTCAATATAGCAATTCCCAATCTACCTAAAACATCGTTTCTGGTTTATTTTCAGACAAAGGCTGATACAACTTTTTCTAATAAAGATAATCTTCAATCTACATCTTTCAAAATCTGAAATTACTTCCATCGAACTTGTCAATCTCCACTTTCCCGTCTTCTGTCATTGCTCCCACTCACATAAAAAAAATCTAAGCTCTTGATACCAGTTGTTGGGAACACAAAGGCAATACTAGACGAAAATAAATAACAAGAATACAAAATTTACGTGGTTCATTCAAAGTGAACTATATCCATGACTGCACTAGATGATGATTCTCATTCACACAATTAGGTTTATAATTACATGAGTATTTATACTAAAAGAATAAGTAAATGGGTCAAATTCAATAACATTCAAACTCCTCACTTAGTACTTTTTCTATCATAAAAAAAAAGGCACTCAGTCGTATGAGATGAAGTTGTGATTCAAACCGAAACTTTTAGAGATAAATTGTGTTGTTTTAATAGAAAATAAAAAATGATAGTAATTGGATTATTTAAAATTAGATTATTTCAAAATTTATGTAAAAGTAGGAATTTAATTTTTTTTCTCAAATTTTTTTCTCTTTTTTTATATTCTCTCATCCACGATCGAAACATTATTGGTTCAGTTTAGATCAAGACTTTATCGACTAAACTGCACTTTTCTGTATATTCTCTGTCCAATCTTTGAATTTTTGCAATAATAAAGACAAATAACTAGAAAAGATAAATTGGCATGGTACATGAACTTTCACAACTCTCTTTGTCAACTATGATATCCAACCATTGTATCATAGGAAAACGACATTGCGCTTCAATTATAAAAAGATGAATTGGAGAGCGACTCAAATATTAGAGCTTTTATATATATATATATATATATATATATATATATATATATATACACGTGTGTGGCCTGATCACTCAAGCATCTAACAATAAAATATGGGTGTATTTTTTTTGGAAGAAAAACTAAAGGCTTTAAATTCTTTCAAATTTGAAACTGATATTCCTATCAAGTGTTTGTAAATTAATAAGGAAATAGGCAATGAGACTAAGATGGAAAAAACAACACTAGATTTAAAATAGGATGATGGTGATCATGAAATTGGGAATGAAGGAAACATTGATGGAGAGATACAATAGTTACTCATGATGAGAGAATTGGAGAGGATGAAGATGATTATGGTAAAAGTGAGGAGGAAGTAGAGAAATTGATTCAATCTAGAGATAATCAAACTCCTGCATGGATGAATGATTTTGTCGGTGGAGAAGGTTTGTACGAGGATGAAGCTTATACTCTTAATGGTGTCAACTTATCCTTGTGCTTTGAGAAAGCTCCAGTGAAAATTGGAGATTGAGCATGAACAATGAAATGATGGACATTCGCTGAGCTACCTATTTGGGTCAAATAATTAGAGTGGAATGGGTTACAAAACCAAATACAATGAGAAAGGAAAATTTAACAAATGTAAGGCTCAATTGTTTTTTAAAAGGGTCCTCTTTGAAGTATGGCGTGCATTGTAAAGAAATTTATAGCCCAATTGTAAAGACGATGACGAGAATTTGTACGGTTGTTATATATACCTGTATCAAACGTATGAAATATATCTTGTAAGAATCTTTCTTCGTCTCTTTATTCATATATTCATAAATTTTATATATAAAATAAAAATATGATAAAATATTAAATATTAAAAATATCTTAATTATAATTATATAAGTCAAAATAATATCCTAATATATTTTTTATTTATTCTAAATAATAATAAAAAGCTCTCAATATCTAATTTAAATGAAAAAATAATAAAACAATATTTTTAACATTCTTATTTGTTTAAATATCTATTTATTTGAATTTGATTTTTGTTTTCCTCTTCTTTTACATGTAATTCTTGTTATTCTTTTTTTCGTAGGAGATCATCACTTCATTCAATTTTGTTATTACACTTGTCATTTTTTTTTTGCAGTCACTTGTAAACAAGCTTTTTCTTAACATGATATTTCTTCTCATAAAACTTTTTTATTGTATTAACAATATTTTATTTAGATCCTAACACATGGGAATTTGCTTTTTTTATTTTCTATTCATCTTTTTTTCCATAAAATATAATGTGAAGAAGACATTTTCTTCTTAGAACACTCATTTTTCTTGACTTTTTTTTATTATTATTGTTAATTAACATAGACAAAAGTAGGTTTAGTTTCAATTGTAGTTTTTTCAGTTCAATTTTAAGCTTCTCTATTTCATGATCATGATTTTCAAGCTTTTTATCCTTTTGTTTGAGAACCTTGTCTTTGGTCTTCAAAATCTTTTCAGTCTTCTCCTTCTCAAGGCACAAATGCTATAACATTTCCTTCATATCTAGCAATTATTTTTTGAGCAATTATTGCTTCTCAGAGTCTTGTTTTCTTGCAATAATGTGGACCTGATTGGTTGTTGAAGTTTTCTCCTTGAGAGTTTTACTGCCCCTATTTGTAGGTACTTCATAATTTTTTTTTAGGTGACTTTAAAACCATGATTCTGATGAGAATCATTTGTGAAATACCTAAATATAAAAATGATTTTTCTTTTGTTTTCCTCATTTTTCTTTCCTTATGAATTTTGATTTGGGTCATGGTGAAATTTTCATGCAGCAGGTGAATGATTTAATCATCTTTAATAATATCTTATAAATCTAGTCCTTCATAATAATATTGCATTATCACATTTCATAGGTCATAAGTTTTGTCATTGAAAATTGGAATATAGACTTGTGAAAAACTTCTTCCTCCTTTCATTCTTTTTGTGAGAACCAAAGCTCTTGATAACACTTTTTGAAAATTTTTAGGGTTTTTGTATATATTTATTTTTTATATATGAAATATATCTCATATGGATATGTTTCAATTTTTTATTCATGTACTCATATACTTTATATACATGTACGAGAGTAAAAATATCATAGAATATCAAATATTTCAATTATAACTACCTAAATCAAAATAATAATCTAATAATATATTTTCTCTTGTGCTAAAGAATAATAAAAATCTCTTAAAATTTAATATAAATAAAAGACAATAAAGCAATATTTCAATAGATGAGTATGAGCATACTTTTCCATTAGACATGAAGATAATTGTCTTCCTTTTAAATTGGGTGAAGATATTTTTGTGTGTTAGAAAATTCAAATATGAGTGTAAGTTTCATATTAAGTTAAAATAATAAAGTTGAGTAACTTATAAATAAAAAAAATGCATAACCTAATGCTTAAGATTTTAGGTTGAAGGTAGTGTCATCCTGTTACGTTGGTTGAACTCATATCTCATGTTTAATTGAATTGAAACGCATCTCAATGGCGAATTATTTCAAAGGTGGGAGGTGAGGGGCCTATATGACCTCCCAAAATTTTAGTAACTTATTCATTTTGATTTTATTCTTAAGTATAACAATTAATTTTGATTTTCCAAAATTAGCAATTAAATACACTTATATAATTACAATTTTAATATCTTATCTTTTTATATTTTCACACTTTTTTATTATTATAGGGAGATTATTTAGATTTACAAGTAATGATAGCAATTATGACGTTTGAATTTAAAAGCTCTATATTGAGAGAGTTTGATGGGTCTGATAGGGGGAAAAGGAGATTTTTCCTTATGATTGAGGTGTCGCAAAAGTCTAATGATACGTTTTTATATGAAAGAAAATATATATATTGGAAGTCTTGTATGATGGAAACTAATTCAATAGACAATCCATGAGTTCTAAGGTTCAAAATGAATAAAGATGGAGAAAGAAACTAAGTTAATGAAACATATTATAAAAAGATGATTGGTAGTTTATTGTATCACTGTCACACTGCCAAATACTAAATATAATGTTTATGATTTGTTTGATAAATAAATGTATGATAAAATAGGTTAGTCCGTCTCGTTTTGATCCGTCCTGCCTTTGAGTCACCAAAAGTGGAATGGGGCGGACTAACCCGCTATAGTCATGATAGACTATAGATCTCGGTTCGTCCTGTCAAAGGGCGGGTTGACAAACTAGTATGTCATATTTCTTATTTTATTATTTTTAAATCAAATCTTTTAATAAATTTAATAATAAAATTATCATTGTCAACAATTCAATATATATATATATATTAAGTTAATAATATAAATTAATATATTATTTTAATAAATTATATTTTAGAACAATTAAATTAAGATAAAATTTATAAAATAATAAATACATGTATTATAAAATTTTTTGAATTCTCTTAGTAAATGAATTTAAGTAATTATAAAAATTTTTGAATTTTCTTACTAATGAGATACTAAGAATATAAATTCTTTTTTGAAATTAGGACTTTTTAATTTTTTTTTTATAAATATTTATATTATATATTATTTTTTAATTTTTTGGATTGTATCACAATTAAAAAAAAGTATTAATAAAACGAACGGCGGATTACGGAGTTAGCCAATCATGCCAAAACATGCCAAAACATGCCAAAACAAGCTACTAACCATTCCGCCATGGTGGCCTATATGACAAAAACCAATTATTACTCGAGACTATGAAATATTTCATAAGACCAGGACATAACTCAGCTATTGAAATTCAGAAAATAACTATACTGGAGATATTGAAGATAGAAGAGTACATTAGTTACATGTATTTTTATAGAAGCTACCTTTTGTGTTTGTCCAGAAATTTCGATAAAGAAAAATTTAAAGGAGTTTGAGACATTCTTATAGACTCTACAGTTATAATATCCATAGAGTAAACAAATATAAAAATCTCTGATTCTGGGTTTCTTCACACAATTTCAATTTCAATTTCAATTTCCAAAGCAGACCACCCAAGGAGAAAGAAACACGACAAAACAAAACTCCAGACTTGAAACTCAAGGTTAAAGTTGTTATCCAAGGGTTTCCTCCAGCCACAACTTGGAACCCTCCATGAGTTGAGGGCTCAACCTAAACATCAAAACGCAGAACTCTATCTGGTTGAGCTCGCCATCTCCGTCGCAGTCACCCTGTCGGAGCATGGAGCGAAGGTCCTCGTCGGTGAGACCATGCAGGCCCAGCAACGCAGCGTTCCTCTTGAGGCTGTCAAAGGTAATGAGCCCTGTGTGGGAGTCCTTGAGGAGGTTGAAGCCGTTGCAGAACTCGCGTATGAGACCGTCCCCGCCGAGGTTCTCGGCCATGAGAGGCAGGTAGTCGTGGAAATGGGGTTGTGAGTTTTGTGAGGAAGCCATTGTGATTGGTGGGTGAAGAAAGAAAAAGGGAGAGTGGATTGAGAGTGGGTGAGGAAGGGAACGCGGTATATGTAGAGCGAGGGAAAGGGTCAGGAAGGTTCGGATAAAGAGAGGTGAGGCGGAGATGATGAGGAGGAGGAGGAAGAAGGTGGAGTTACTTGGCTATGGCTTGCGCAGAAGGTGGCATGAGGGTAAAACTGTCCATCAGGAAATGTGGGTTGTCTCTTTGCATGTTGCAGGTTTCCAAGGAAGTGACCCGACGAGAATCTAAGCTTTTATTAATTACTTGGTTTAAACATGAATTAAGTAATAATATTGCAATATGGACAATGGAACAACCAACCATTTTTATTTTTAGGGATAGGGGGTAAAGATGATTGATCATCTTCATTACACTAACTCAAGAAATTGATATTGGAATCAAGAATGTTATGTTTTCTCCCAGGAGATTATTATGATTTGAATAAATTAGGAGGTTTACTAGCTTATTATATACCATTTCTTTTAATTACCGAAGCTTTTCTGGTTGAGAAAAAAAGAGTATGTAGAAATTATTTTTTACTTCAACTTTTTAAATAATGTAGGACTCTCTTCGACTTTTAAATAAGGTAGGACTGGTAAGGGTATTCTTTGCTGAAAAGAAAACTAAATAATAATGGCAATAGTTCAGTTTAAAATGTGAAAGATCTCAATCATTAGATTTGCACCCATTAACTACACACCAAATGATTGATTCTTATTTTTTACGCAAATGTCTTTTAAATTTGGTTAATTTATTATTTTAAATTTCATAATCTATAGAAATTATACGTAAATCCCTCAATTAAGTAAGTATTTTATGTGATACAACTTTTATTTCTCAGTTTGTTACTTGTACAATTTGAAACTCTTGGCAATATTCATAAAAAAACACACATTGATTTCCCTCAATTAAGTAAGTATTTATGTGGATACAACTTTTATTTCTCAGTTTGTTACTTGTACAATTTGAAACTCTTGGCAATATTCATAAAAAAAACACACATTGATTTCCTAGCCATGACAGGTCGAACCTAATGTTCCAAAGTAAATCTAATAGCGATAAATTCATGTTATCTTTCATTTCATTTTATATATATATATATATATATATATATATATATATATATATGTCAGTCATTGACTATATGCACGTTCAAGAAATAGAAAAAGGAATGAATCCAAAGTGGAATCATTAGTTTAAAATGAGTTTTGTTATGAATATTATTTTGGTGTTTTTACATTAAATACGAGTCTAACATTAATATAGGAGACATAAATTTATGTCAGACATAATTACCAACATAAATTTATGTGAGATCAAGATATATAACCAACATAATTTTATGTCGGATTAAGATATAGTCGACGTAAATTTTGTTATTTTTTTTTAATATTTGATCTATTTGTTTTATAACTAGTTCATATTTCATATTTTAATAGACAATAATTTAAAACTATAACAATACAATACAAAACTAAACTAATATAAAGTTTAAACTAATACAAAAACTAAGTTACCTAAATGTTAAACTACATAATATAATATAATAAAATACAATATAAACAATAACCTACAAGTACTAGAAATGTTGAACGAAAAATCTTGTTTATTATTCCATAATTTGTGTAATATCATGTTCGATAGTGGAGATGAATTTTGTAATACTTGAAACATTAATTTTACTCATATTAACAATACGCATAAAAGTAAATCAACTTAACAAATATTGAAAGCAATTACTTCAGTCCAAAAATTAGTTATATCGAGCATAAACTATGACTCTTATTCATTACATGATATAAATATAACAGTTACTATTTTCTTATTACACCGAATTGATAAACAAAACATAATGTTTTTTTTTTCAAAATTTAAATACAAGAATATAATATTTTTGTCTTTTTCACTACTTTTGTTTATTACATGTGCTTAGGAACATATTTTGCAAAAATTGTTGGGACAAATTCGGCCCCTTCTTTGTTTTTTTTCCTTCATTTTCATATGTTATGCGTCTAAATCTGACATCGGAGTCAAAATTTATCCTTTTTCAAATATTTCATGTTTTCTTTTCATCATACAATTCTAAACCTTATATACTATAATATATTCTCTTCACATCATATCATATCATATCATTTTCTTACTTACTTACTCATTACTATTATATAATTAATATACAAACAACAATTCAAATGATTAAATCATGAAAACATAAAAATATAGTGTATAACCATAAATCCACTCAAACGCATAAACAGATAATCACAAACTACAACAGTTCAATTTCATTAACAATTCAGTATAAACATTCATACAATAACGTGATTGAGATCCCAAAAACAATCACTGATTCAATTTTAATATAAAAGATGAGACACATAGAACACTAACCTCAAATATACAAAAAATGTTTCAATGCTCTAAAACTCGAATTCATTCAAAGAGAAACTACCGAGGCAATGTTCCGAAAATTAGGTTTATCTAAAAGAGCAACCGGCTGAGCACGAGGTCCCACATTGTCTCCATCAGCGGCTAGGAAAAAGTCTTTGACTCTTCTTCTAGTTAACCATTGCTTTAGACTATCAATCACTATAAATGGGACACAATGTACGTGTTTTTGTCATTCACAGTGACCAAAATGTACTTTAAAAAGAGCTGGTTTGGTCTCTATTATCATTGTCACTCGAAAATTTCCACGTATGAAAGGAAAAAGAAGCCCTAAAGTGATTAAAAAACAGTTTTTGCGTTGGCCTCTAAGATATTCGATATAAAAGTAGTGTCTTTTATTTACAAAAATGTCACCAATTTTTTTTAAGTCGGTTTATTTTGTCTAAAGAGAAAGGTAAAATCCAAATTTGCACTAGAATAAGCACTACTTGGTAATTAATAAGCCGAAAATAAGCAACTAATAAAGAAGCTCTTATCTCTGAAAAATATACAATGTATAGAGCATAACTATTTGTCCAAATATCATATTTAGAAGCTGAATAGTTGATCAAATTTATTAATAATTAATACATTTCATGATTCTAAAATTGTTAACTCTGTTGAATACTTTTCTTCAACAAAGATAGTTACTAGAGATTGGTGGTAGGAAACTTTTCTATTTTCTAAATTATCTATCTTGCCTCAAACAACGACTGAGACATTTCGTTGAGAGAATAAGTATCGCAATTTCTTGAAGAAGAATCTGTCATGGTTGAATTATTTCCTCCTGTGTAAAATCCAGGTTGCCTTGGTTCAGGCAACAACTTTTCACTATTCAACATCAAAACTACAGAAGACATGTTTGGCCTATCCTCTGGTCTTTGTTGTACGCATAACAAACCAATATGAATATATCTTAATATATCAGGTGGACAACCTGGGTCGCCCACTGAGTCATCCATGAGTTCCATTGGCCTTTTTTCAATCCATAGTCTCCATGCCTGTAAGAAAATACATGAAAACCATTAATAGATGATTTCATTTCGCATATTGGAAACTACTAATTTCAAGGATAAGAGTGTTATCGTTCACATAGAAATTTCCATCTTGAACTTACATGTCCAAGAAGATTTAGGTGATTGTGAGGGTCACAAAATCCTCTATTTTTCCTCCCGCTGATTATCTCCAATACAATGACGCCAAAGCTGAATACGTCTGATTTGACTGAAAAAGATCCATGTACTGCATATTCCGGAGGCATATAACCACTGCATAAAAGAACATGGGTCAACACGAGAATCTAGAATCGTTTGTAAAAGGGGAAAGAAGAAATAGTTATAGAAAACTTACTATGTTCCCATCACTTTATTTGTGTTTGCTTCATCTTGATCTAGGCCAAATGTCCTAGCCATACCAAAATCTGATATTTTTGGGTTCATATTACTATCAAGAAGAACATTACTAGTCTTGAGATCCCTATGAATGATTTTTAGTCTAGAATCTTGATGAAGATAGAGAAGTCCTCTAGCAATTCCGCCAATAATTTCAAATCTCTTAGCCCAACCTATTAATGTTTGTCTGGTTGAATCTGAGAAAATTCAGTACCAAGTTATCATAACAGTTTGATGGAAAATATAAAAAATTGGAATAGTTAGATTCTAACAAAGCCCGACCAAAAATAAAGTAGTCCAAGCTTCTATTTGGCATGAATTCATAAATTAACATCTTTTCATCTTGCTGAATGGAACAACCAAGAAGCTTTACAAGATTCCGGTGTTGAAGGTTTGCAATCAACATGACTTCATTCTTGAACTCGTCCAAACCTTGTCCAGAAGTTTTGGAAAGCCTCTTAACTGCAATTTCTTGCCCATCAGATAATATGCCCTGACAATGACAATGAATTTGAAAACATTAAAGTTATTTCTATGAAAGATGAATGGTAAGTTAAATTTAAATTTCATACCTTGTACACCGGTCCAAATCCCCCTTCTCCCAATTTGTTACTCTGAGAAAAGTTATTTGTGGCCTTGGAGATGGATAAAAAGTCGAATATTGGTAAATCAATGTTATCCTTCTTATTCTTGTCCTTCCAGTAATTTGTTTCTGATACTTAAAAACTATCAGATCTTATGCAGAACAAAAATATAATAGAACGGATTTCTCTCTAAGTTGTAACAACAATCAGAACATAGAAATGAAGGTCAGTTGTTATCACATTCCATTATTGTGCAGTTCAAAGTAAAATATAACACACAATTACAGTAGCAATATTTAATTATCGTGAGTTCACCTGATTGCTTCAGTTTCTTCCTCTTAATGCAAAATACCAATCCAAATACTATAATTGTAATGATGAATATAGTACAGCCAACAACAATTCCTGCTATCTTCCTGTTGAAACCGCGATCTGAAAAATTAAGAACATAATCCACTAATAATCAGCTGACACACAATCACACATTGGAGCATTTACAAAACACATAAAGAAAAATAGAAATATATAAACTTTATTATAAGTTCACCTTGAAACTTTATATTTAAAATATCCTGATAATGTATAGATTTTTAGTGTACAATATTGTCAGAAATATTCTAATTTAAGTGTATCTATTTTTTATTTAAAATATTTATGGGATTTTGTAAACATATATATTTTATTTCTTTTTCTTTTTTTACAAAATAATTTAAAATCCATCAATTTCTATTGTTTTTCCATTCCTTTTCTTTCTCAATCATTTCATTTCACTTTCTTTATAAATAAAATAACACATAAACACTAGTTGCATTTTAAAGTATAACTAGCTGTGTCGTAGATACTGCTAAATCTTTTTACCTTACAAATGGCAGTTTTAGCAGTAATTTTAGATTTTCTTGTTTTTTCTCGATTGAAGCACGCGTGTTTCCCAATTTAATCGAAACTTATTCAACACTGAGATGTGAGTCTGTGAATTTCTTTTATTATAAATAAATGGCTTCACAAAATCTACAAATATTTTATATGTATATTATTAAAAATATGAGTTTGAGGTTGAATCATATATTTTTATTATTATTTCAATCTAAAAATGGAAGTAAAAAAAAAAAAAAAAACCTACAATTGCCTATAAAAAAATAACTCTATATTTTTCACATTCATCCAACTTAATTTTGTGTATGCATTTTTCACAATAAATGTTCTTTACTTTCTAGCATTTTACTTACGTAATAAACCGATTGATTACCACTACAAACATTTCAGAACTTGATATGCATGAAAAAGCAATAGAGTTTATTAAGAGTGAATTGTAAAATAAAATGTACCTTGAAACTCTGAAGCTGTAATTCGTAGATAAAAATCTTGTCCACCCTGTGGTAGTATCCTGATGTCAATAATGTCATGAAACCAATGCAAGCAACCACTTCCCTCGCCACTGATATTCAATTGAGCATATGCAGTACAAGAGCAGTTGCTCAAGCACAATTTCTCACATTCCTGAAGACTAGTTGTCTTATCAAACCAAGATGAAGATGTGTCTGGCAATTTCATTCCCCGGTACTTCTGAAATTTATCTCCCTTGTTACAATCTAGAGGGGTTGTTCGATCACAAGTTGAATCTGCAAAGTTGGAATGGAATCCACTCAAGCATTCACAGTGTTGACTTGTTCCACTCACATTGCAAATAGTATTTGCACCACACAAGGCATATCTCTCACACACATCAAATGGACCAGGAAAGTGGGTATCCCATTTTTTACTCTGATCTGACCATACTAAACGTACTTGATACCCTTCTGGGGTCAATCGGCTTCTCAGTTTAGTTGAACTCTTCAAGAGTTCAAACTCATAGAAGACTTCATCTTCATTCATAACAAAAAGGGATTTAATTAAGGGGTCAGTTATTTCTCCAGGTAGTCCTGTGACACTAAGACCATTCCATGACCCTGGTCTATAAACTATGTCATCACTAGTCTCGTTTTTTATGACTAATTGAGGAAGGCCACGAGTATCAACACCAAATGAAAATTGACCTGGAGTAGGATCTTCTAAGGATGTCCAAGATCTTAGAGCTCGATGATGACCAGTTTTGAAGTTCCTTCCAAGTTTCATTCCTGGAAGTAAAGTGTCATCAGGGTAATCAAAGCTTTGCCATAAAAAGTTGTTATGGCTATCTTTCACAACCATGTTTCCTGATTCTAACAACTCCATAACAGCTGACTTGCTTGGTGTCTGTGATGTATTTGAGGACCATATTTTGGCTCCTGTACCATCTTTGATACTAAGAAACCCTTTACTGTCTACTTCTAAGACTCCGGAGTGGTCTTGAAGTGGTGTTTCTTTGTTGGCTACCCAGACAACTGTTCTAGGGGATATGTTTTTGTACCAAATTCCAAGGTAACGGCTACCGGAATTTTCACGGCTGAAGAATCCTGCTTCAAAGGTTCCATTTGTTGAGACAAGAGTTCCATTCTCATTCTTACTATCTCTCAGGGGTTGGGTCGGAGTAATCAACTCCAAAGTGGAACACATGGTTACCAAGGAGAGGAACAGAAGGCATACACCAAGCATTTCAAAGCTTTCCATTGAGTTTTGTACGGTTTCTATCATAAACAATGTGGTTGGGTCTGAACTCGGTGACGGGTAGGTATAGTACTTAAAGAAACAAAGAGGAAAAAAGCACCTCCAAAGATGCTACATATGGTCACGGTCTAGAAAATTGAAAAGGTCAAGAAAATTCAAAATCTTAAGAATTAATGTAGTTAGAACCCTTTAGTACGATGCACTATGCAGAATAACTACTTTGATCTTTCTGGGTAGTTAGTTTGACGATTATGTACATCTTACTGCATTAACATCAGAAGATATTGCAATCAAATTTGTCCGTCTTTGTAGCTTTTTTAAGTTGTTTAGAGATACAGATGAAGTAATAATTTGGTAAATTAGAGTATAAAAGTGAAGTGACAACTCTAGTCCATTTTTGTATAATTGAATTAGTTTTAAATTAATATTATAAAAATATTATAATTTATTTTAGTAATTATTGGATTTATCATCTTATTGGTTATCAAACCTTGTTTATGATTATGATTATAACATTCAAAAGTAATAACTATGATGATGCTGGGAGTGAAATAAGTCAATATTAATTTAAAAAACTGTAATAATTAAAATATTTTAGCATATAATAATTAATATCTTTTAAAATTTAGCAGACACACAATTATGTATGAAAAAGATTAATAAGAATTGTACAATTACATTCCAACTTGTGGATGATATTTAATAGTTGTCTTACTTTTCTAGCCCATACATGGATTTGGTACAAACAAGAAAGAATTTTTAGATTAAGCAAAGAAATGGTTTGATCATTTAATATTGAATTCAGTTTTCATGAGTTTGAGTTTTCATGAAATAGTTTGTAAAAACTATGTAAGAAAATGCTTCTGATGTCCATGCATGTGACTGTGTCCCTACAACGATGAATTAGGAATGTGACTGCACAAGCAGATCAAACGGCAAAAATATCCTGCAAATTTTAGTACTTCAAAAATTGTAACTTCAATTTCGAATACAAGATATAGTTTGCTATAGCTACAATTTTTCTCTTAAACTTCTCCCCTATTGTGACCAATTTGAAATGTATAATATTTTAACAGGTAATATAATATACTAAAATTTTTTATGGATTACAATTTAGGTTTTGAATTTTAATTTATTTATTTTTAGATAATTTTCGCACAGGCCATCTTCATTATGAAAAGATGTAATAAGATGTGCAATCAACCTTTTATATATTTATTTTTTCATAAAAAAAATTCGTATTTTCTTCTATCACAGTTCATATAAAAAAAATAAAACAATTTTGTTCTCACATACAATTATAAATCAAACTGGAATATGTGAGCAAATAATAAAAATCTATAATTCATAACACATAATAAAGCTCATAAGGAAAATAAATAAACAAATATTTTATTATTAGATACTTCTCTATAAATATATTTAAAATAAAATTTTAAAAATAAAATAATTATCAAAAAGCTACAATTAACTTATCTATCTAATTTGCGAAAATATTTTTATATCACATCTTTAAATTCTCATTTTGAACTTATGTTTAAGTTAATTTTACATTATGAAAAAGGTTTTTTTTTCTCATAAAAGCCTTTGTGGAAAAATTTATCCATACATGTATGAATTAATTTTATTTTATAAATAATTATTTCTTAATGTACCTATAAGAAGCTCTATGCAATAAAGAAAAATATAAGGTACCTAAAAACTCGGTCTTTTAAATCTCATATTTATTATTCACCAACAAGAACTTGAACTTAATGATGCTTGTTCTTTTGTGTACTTGTCAAATTTAAAGCAGTTTCATTAATTATTTCCATCAATTTTGTGTTTCAATAATGAATTATAGGACACGTAAAAATTGAAAAGTATGAAAACTCGTCCATATAAGTCAAGTCAAGACTTCTTCAACACAATTCAAAATTAAGTTGCGTTATTACTAAATCAAATCGTATATTATAGTTTATAAAATGATATTTTTAATTATTTTTCATTTCATTTTTTTTCATCTCCCTTTATTCTATTTCTTTGTATTATAAAATGTCAAATAAAAAAAAAGATGATAAAAATAAAGATAAGAAATAAAGTTCCGACATATTGTTGAAAGTTGACTTCCGTGTTTAAGGGATATGTTTAGAAAGTGATTCGTAAATAGAAGTTATGATGTTAGGATTGAATTTCACACAACTCGTACAAATAATTATAACTATTTATCTTAATAAATTTTTAATTATATCATCAAGTAAATTATTTAAAATTTTAATTTCTTAAACAAATTGGATAAGTTAATTAATAATAATTTTGGTCCTTAACAATTATAATCAATTTATAATGATATAGATTAAAATTTTAGAGATGTCAAATTTAACAATACTTATTTGATTTAGGTGCACTAGTGGAAAAATAGGATTCTATGACGAGTTTTTATCACGGTCGTAGTCCACCCGTCATAGTATGTAGCGCGGTGGCAATTTTGTAATAAAATCATAAAATTTTTATGTCGGGTAATAGGTAACCGACATGGTAAGTGAGAAAGTTCATTTTCTATGTCGGGTAAATTTAACCGACATAGAAAGTTCACTTTCTATGTCGGTTACATTTTAATCGACATAGAAAATTCACTTTCTATGTCAGTTAAAATTTACCCGACATAGAAAATGTATTTAATGACGGGTGTTAGGGCAACCGACATAGTATCTTCTGTTTTACACCTACCGTAACGCTCCATTTCATCACTTCACCCATAGCAGAGCTCCCCATTCTCTCTGTCTCTACTACGAACGCCATCGCCTGTGTAAGTTTCTCCCCACCCAGCTCTACTCGTCACGCCACCTGCCAGCTTTGTACGTCGTGCCGCCTGCTGCTGCTGTCGTCGCTGTCATTAGTGCCCGTCGCCTGTGTACGTTTCTCCCCACCCAGCTCTGCACGTCACGCCACCTGCCACCTCTGTAGGTCTTTAAGAGGTAAGTTTTCATGTTTGCTTTAGTCATTGTAGGTTTACAGTTTTGAATCTGGTATGTATAGAAATGGAAAGATCACGAGTGCCTTTAGCTAATTTAGAGACATATTGTAAGTAGTTTAGTCATTTGAATGTGTTTTTGTAGGCATTCTTTCTTCATTTTGATTTTAAAAATTAGATTTGTATTATAATATAGTTATTTCATTTTAAGTGAAAACTATCATCGCTTATGCTCACCCTAATGTGAGACAATACAGTGAGCCTTGATTGGAGTCAGTCATGAAATGATCCATTGTAGGACAGAACTTCCTATTGAAAGATTAAAATATCCAATCACGTGACATCGCAATTTTAGCAAAACATGTTGGATGTTATCATCCTCAAACTATACTTATATGTTGTGTTATGTGACAGAAGGTAACAATGGATCGGAGTTGGATCAATTATAGACGAACAACAAATGAATATGAGAGTGGAGTAGAACAATTCCTTGAATTTGCTAAGATGAATGTTCCGGATAATGATGGAAGATTCTATTGCCCGTGTGTTAACTGCTTGAATGAGCGAAGATTACCGACTGAAGTTATTCGGGAACATGTTCTTTGTGATGGTTTCCTAAAGAGTTACATAAAGTGGACATGGCATGGTGAATTATTAAACATGCCAAGTGTAGAAGACAAAGAAGAAGTTGATCTAGAGATGGATGATCAGCTGGAGGAAATGATTCGTGAGTTTGGACAAGATGCCTTCCAACATACACATGTGTACGAGAAGTTGTCCAATGATGCAAAAAATCCTTTGTATACAAATTGTACTAAGTTCACACGATTGTTGGCGGTACTAAAATTGTTCAATGTGAAGGCAAAGAATGGGTGGACTGATAAAAGTTTCACAGAATTGCTTGAGTTGTTGAGTGACATGCTCCCTGAAGGTAACACATTGTCAACCCGCAATTATGATGCTAAGAAGATATTGTGTCCAATGGGTATGGAGTACCAAAAAATTCATGCATGTCCGAATGATTGTGTGTTGTACAGGAAAGAATTTGAGAACTTTCACGAATGTCCACAATGCGGGGAATCAAGATACAAGAAGAAGGATGGTGATTCTGACAATGATGTAATGAAGGGTACCCCGACAAAAGTGTTATGGTATCTTCCCATTGTTCCAAGGTTGAAACGATTATTCACTAATGGAAATGATGCAAAGCTCACTAGATGGCATGCAGATAGTCGTATTAAAGATGGTCAATTGAGGCATCCGGCACATGGATTGCAATGGAAAAAAATTGATTCCATCTTCCAGAATTTTGGTAATGATCCAAGAAACATTAGGTTTGGACTTGCTACAGATGGAATGAATCCATATGGAAATTTAAGTAGTAAACATAGTTCATGGCCTGTGGTGTTAGGTGTTTACAACTTACCTCCGTGGTTGTGTATGAAACGTAAGTACTTGATGCTATCTTTGATGATCTTGGGTCCCAGACAACCTGGAAATGACATTGATGTTTTTTTAAGCCCATTGGTTGAAGATGTTGTGGGTACACAGGTGACTTATTCAAGTTGCGTGCAATGTTATTTTGTACAATTAATGACTTTCCAGCATATGGTAATTTGAGTGGCTACAACACAAAGGGACATAAAGCTTGCCCGATATGTGAAGAAGACACATGTCACTATCAACTACAACATGGAAGGAAAACAGTGTACCTTGGACACCGAAGATTTCTTCCTTCAAACCATTCGTATCGTAAATTAAAAAAATCATTTAACGGGTGTCAAAAAAATGATGCAGCCCCAACACCTTTAAGTGGGGAGGAAGTATATCAACCAGCGAGTGCGATTTTGTTTGAGTTTGGAAAGATGCAAAAGAAAGCCACAAGTATATGGAAGAAAATGTGAATCCTTTTTGTTCTTCCATATTGGAGGGTTCTTGATGTGAGGCATTGTATAGATGTCATGCATGTAGAGAAAAATGTGTGTGACAGTATCATCGGAACGCTCCTTAACATTTAAGGAAAAACAAAAGATGGTGTCCATGCTCGTTTGGACATGGTTGAAATGGGTATAAG